TTACTGTACTAAGGACTGGACTAAAGCATTATTGTAAAGGATTTACAACAAGGAATTATGACCATGTGCACTATGCAATCAGTAAATGAGTGTTTACATGTGCACATATTTATCCCTGCTGTGAGGTTAGTTTGGCTCAGAAATGAACTGGTTATACATGACCAGGTGTTGGGCTGTTTTCGCTGTGTATCAAGCTAAGATAACTTGCCTTTCCAGCCACAAATATTAGATATACATTGCTTTCTGCCACTATATATAGGAGGTGAAAGATATGTTTAATATCTTACCAAAAAGTAGTTAATATACAAGCTTAATATTATTGTAAGCTTAAACTCAGGTCAATATGGACTACATTATATTACTATAAGATTTCCTTCTTTATTACCTCAGCAGTGTTTGGTTGCTCTTGGTGGATAGTCTTTTTTTAGGCTAGTGACCAGACAGTCTCATTTCCCTTTTATCCACATTCCCAGAAAAAAATTCATAGTTGTTTGTATGTTGTCGATATTAAATGCTAAATTTATTTTGGAATTATTGTAAACTGCGTCTGTTAATGACACTCTCACCATGGGTTATCACTTATCAGCATATGGCACATCACCTGGATCTATGTATGTTATCACTTATCACTTGCTTCTAACCTTGATGCATTACCTCCATGATCCTTTCAAATTTTCAACACCTCTCACCATGGATTATCAACTGTCTTGCCCATATTTTCAGTTTGCTTGGCATCTCCTTTTGATTAAAGTATTCAACTTCATCAAACAGTTTCAGGTTCTCTGTGGGTTTTTAGTAACCAACAAACCTCAAAGCAAAGGAGACAGTCTCAAGCAAAGCCAGTCCGAGCCAATGGATGCAGAAGGAGATGAAGATGATGATGACGACGACGACGATGGCGATGATGGCTTTGGAGAAGGTGAAGAGGAACTCTCTTCAGAAGATGGAGGAGGTTATGATGAAAACCCCAATGGCAATAACAGCAACTCCAAGAAGGGATCTGAAGGAGGTGCAGGTGGAGCTGAAGAGAATGGAGAGGAAGAAGATGAGGAAGAGGAAGAAGATGGGGAGGACCATGACGATGAAGATGATGATGATGACGACGACGAAGATGATGATGGTGGGGAAGGAGATGAAGACGAAGTCGTGGAGGAAGAGGAACCAGAGAACGAGGAGGAAGAGGAAGACGAGGAAGAAGAGGCCCTCCAACCCCCAAAGAAGAGGAAGAAGTGAAACAAAGAAACTAGGGTTTCAGTGCCATCAATGTAGCCGCGCCCTTGTTAGTTTCTGTCTGGCTATCTAACCTTTACCATGTTGTTTAGCTTTTAATCCAGAAGGCGTTGTTTTAGGTCGAAGGTTTACTTTATTTAGGTAATTGTCATCTCTTTTTTTTTCTTTAATGCATGTCATCATGTGTTTAGAGAGAAACTTTTCAACTTTGAGCTGATTGAGAGCACACGTGACATTTTGCTCTGGCCGCTTCAATTCGGATCCTTTTAAAAATGTCAATACAAGTTTTAGAACTTATGTTAAAGCCTCTTTCGTTTCGTTTTTATTGCATTCAGCAGGATCCAGTACCAGTAGGCATTTAGCTAATTGGAAATCATATTTACTATATTAACAATTGACACTGAAACCCTTGTACCCATCCTTTGGATTTTGGAATGACTTGAACTCCACTTGGATGTGACATGTGAGGTCACACACTTTTGGGCTATGTATAACGAACCTGACCTGAGTTGAGCCCAAATAGAAACCTTGAACTAGAGCTGAGAAGTGTAAATAGACCCACCGGGTATACCTGTTCATGGGCTGGGTTTGGGCTTAGCTGGTCTGATCTGAAGCCCAAGCCCGAATATTCATGTATATAAGTAATAGATCCAACTTTGATCCATTTATATTTAGACTTAAATTGAATCGTATATTGAATTGAAACCGAACATTGAATAATATAAATGACTTTAATGCTGCTCAAAGTTGTGTTTTTACCAACTTGTCATGGGTCCAAGTTCATACAAGTTCTTTTCAATTCGTTTTGTTAATCCCAAACCAAATTATATCAGATTAGATAGTGGTGGATCCACATTTGATCCCATTATGAATGGATCGGATCACCACCTAATATGTTTGTGAGCCCTACCTCGAACTCCCTCTCTGGCACAGATCAAGCTCACTGTTCTAATAAACGATGTTATTTTGGCTCAGTGAGTCAATGTGGAAGGAATACAAATACAAATATGTAGAGTGCAAAGTCTTGCATTTTGTATGTATTTGTATCGAACATATTTGTATTTGCACTCTTTCCAAACTGAGCCTTTATATCAACGTAGTGGGGAAACGGATTGTGAGCTATTTTCTTTCCTTGGCATTGGGCTGTTTGGCGGACCAGTTTCCCCTTTTTGCAGATCAACACAACAAGAAATAGAACAGGGGAACTGTATTTCCTTTACGATAGCATTACTCTGGTGATCTATTTTCTTTACTTGCCAGTTACAAGTTAAATTGTTAATGGGTGATTGGCACCGGTGCGTTTTACAAGTGTTTTGTTTCTTCTGATGTGTTATGCATGCCATGTCAGCAAATAAACGGAATTGGCAAGAATATTATATTTGGCAATCTATTTCCAAAAAAAAATGTTTTTGGAATGATTAGCTTTGGAATTCTGAAAAGGAGGGGTTTCTTGAAATGTCAAATTGACATTTCTTGATTCGCCTTGGTGATCCTGAATCACTCTAGTGACATGGCACATTGAAATTTGAAAAGATTGACTACTTTTCTGATATGTCACACAATTGTCATTATAAATATATTATGATATTAAGTTAAATCACTTTAAACGCCCAATCAGCTTGCATCCCAATTTTTTTTTGTGTTTTTCAAATCGGGGCTTACTTGTAAAACACACCAGTGCCAAACACCCACGAGAATAACAAAACAAAGCAATGAATTTGATATCCAAATATGTGAATGCAGTGGTTAGCTTCAACTAAAGGCTGAAGCGGGCCATAGATAGATGCTCTCGCTGGTACTCCTGGACTACCTGGGCTCTATAGGTAAGCACAGTGTTGAATCATTCACTATCTTCCTCTTGGGCCCTGGTTTGGGTCCTTCTACGCAAGCAGATTTGTGGCTCGGCTGATCTTCTAAACGCTGATCTCCAATGTTCCCAATAGTTGTCATGCCAATTTTCTCTGCATTGTTGAACACTATAGCTGTTCAGCGGGCTGTGAAAACAATGATGATGCTTTGCACCCCAAATAAAATAATGGGGTCACGACTATTCAACCTCTCATTGTGGCCCTTATGCATTTTATGATTAGCATGGGGCATTATTATTAGCCTGTCAATGATATCTAAAATGTACAGTCCGATCCAACATCCGATTTAATTTATTATATATAAAAATTGAAAAATAATTAATTTTTTAATTTTATTTTGTAACTAAAAAATGAAGCATAGTTGGATTAAATCCAAATCCGATCAGAGTCCGTTAGGATTTGAATTTGAACCATTCTTCAAATTCAATTGAATTTCAGATTAGTTTTGAATGCAAGTTTTTAATAAATCAATCGGATCCAATTTTTGATGATTTTGATCCGATTACAATCCTAAGTATCATTGATTCCATAACTTGCTAAACAGCCATTACATTCAGCAAATCTGAATCAATAATAAAGGGTTCCACCTATGTACATACTCTAAGTCCAATAACTTTGAATTGGCCAATAGGGTTCAACTATGATACCGAAAAAACTTATAATCAATGAATTGATATCATAGAAGTGATAACCAATAAGTTGACATTCATCAAAATTCATGGAAGGGTTTTGATTGGTCAAAATCCTTTTAGTAATCAGTAGTCAACATGGTCATTCAGCATTTCTCATAAGGAGGTTGATGGTGTGCGATCTGGATGCTCCTAGTTGGAGGGCAGCTCTAACATCGGACACCTGACTGGTTGGTTGAACAGCAAGAAAACAAGGAGCAAAGGACTCGGGGTGGCTTACTTGGCGTGGTCGCTCCAATGCTTAAGTTAGTAGCTAATGTATGCGAGTTGTAAGCTTTTGAGAGTAATAGCTAGTAAGCAGTAAATCGTGCGTACCTTATACCACTGGGGTAGATGCCCTTATATAGGTGATCTGTTGTGGGGTCTCATGAAACACCTCCAAAATCCCTGACCCGTGCTGTTAGTAATCTGTTTCACACTAGGAGACGGATTTCGTGCTAGCAGATAAGGCTTATCAAGTCCATTCGATCCGGGCGGGAGGAGGATAAGACCTAAGGACACGCGACATGATCCCGTGAAGTTTGGAGACAATTGGCTAACTTTTAGGTGTTGCTTGCATGTCACCTCGGTAGTTCAGGACACTACAAGTTGCTCGGACCTCGGTCCTGGCCAAGGTGACCTATCCTACTGAGGTGGCAGGAAATGCTGAGTCAATGTCTAATTATCAGATCACATCCACATATCCGTTGTTTAGTAGATCGGGCCAAATCACCCCTCATCAAAGGCATTGGATCAAAACCCACACAACTGAACTTCACATGCATCCTGCTCTATCCCCCCTTTGATCCTCTATATTGTACAATGTACAATATTGTTCAAGCATTCAAGCTAATCAAAATAGAATTAGTAAAGTATTATAAAACTTTTGTTTTTCTAGTATCCCAGTTGAGGCTTTGCCTCTCACCTTGGGATACCGTATATCAAACCTAGTTTGTGAGATAGGAGTTAGTTTGGTTAGTGAAAAGATGCGCACAGTGACATTGTGGAAAACTTGTATATGCGTGGTTTGGTCATCTGCTTTCTTATTACTGCGAGAGAGTCATTAAGTTTTAAAGAGATCTAAAATACAACCTTGCTTGGGTGGTGTAGTTGGTTATCACGCTAGTTTCACACAGTAGAGGTCCCCGGTTCGAATCCGCTCTCAGACACTTGGATCTTATTTTCTTTTAATTTTGTTTTCTTTTTGGTTGAATATACTTGCCGTCAACTCGAAATAATCAAAATACAGGGTTTCCCGTGAAATTTTGTTATTCAGAGACTTCCCTTCGTCGTCAGAGCTCAGACTCCAGGCCTCATACGACTGGGCAACTCGAAGCCATCGAGAAAGGAGGAAGAGACTATACGAGGGACTAGGAAGAGAGAGAGAGAAGAGGGATCAATTAGGGAATCTAGTCATGAATTCCTTATTATCACTCTCGTCTCTGTAAATTTAACTCCAACCTAAAGTCCATGGCTGATCATAAGGAGTCCTCTCCTCTCATTGCTCCTTCTCCGATCACCGAACCAGGCGAGATCGACCTCGAAGCAGGACCAGGAGAACAAATTCAATGCAGAATCTGTCTAGAAACAGACGGTATTTGACTCCCAATTCAATTCCTTTATTTCGTTAAGTTACGCCTAGGTTTTCGCTGACCCGTGACTAATTGCTGACCAGATCATTTTTATTTTCCCATTAATTTTCTTGAAAACTGTCTTAAATGCCGATTTTATGAATCTCTGGTACCATTCTTGCAATCTCAGCTTTGTTTCTGCCAGCTTATATACTTGTTATTTTATCAAAATTTTATAAATCTATTTAAATCTGAGTTGAATATCCAAACTAACCAGCTATTTTGTATTTCTTTAACTCTCTAGCAGGCAGGGATTTTATTGCTCCTTGCAAGTGCAAAGGAACTTCAAAGTACGTTCATCGTGAATGTTTGGATCATTGGCGAGCCGTGAGGGTAACGGCCTTCTAACGTCTCATTTTAATCTAGTAAAGTAGACTATACCATGCTTTGCAATATCCAGTGCTGCCATAGTGCATGTGGACTCGCTATTTGCCACTTTATTGTAGTTCATAATCTCTGACAGCCAGGGAATCTTTATGGCTCACTTCCATTGCCAAGAGAGTATAATAAAGCGAAAAAAACCTAAAAGAAATTAAAAAAGTAAAGAAACAAAGGTGTTTGATTGACAAGAAGTTTTTTTTTTTTTTTTTTCCTTTTAATTTGAAAGTCGTAGTTAGTAGGGGCCATCCACCCATTGTGCACTTTATAATTTGATTTTCTTGCATTTTCAGATATTTCTGCAAGGAACAAATAGCTATCAATTAAAAGCAAACTTTTTGGATCAAGAAATTCCAGATGTGTGTACCATCTATTTCTTAGGCTAACAAAACACTTTATTGGGAAATTCTGATTTAATTGTGCTTCACCACAATGTTGTAGAAGGTAATACATGGGCTCCCATGCGAATGCGTTCAAAACCAAATAACTGATATGTTTATTATATCCATGGCCATAGAAAAACTACTTTTGCTGCCTCACTCCTAAAAGAGAGGAGTTAATAAGTATTAACATTGTGGGTGATTCTGATTTGACTATTGATTGTGCTTCACCCAGTGAAATAGAAGGTAAAACATAGGCTCCCATGCCAATGTCTTTAAACTGAACAGCATGCCAAACTTCTATAGATGATTCATGGATATTTGGGGATGGGGTACAATTTGGTGACTTTGTTTTAGCCCTTTTTTCTTTTGTAATCCCCTTTACCACCCAAAGACAAGGGTTGAACTTATCACATTGGCGATATGAAATTAATTTAGAGAGGCCAAAGCTCTAATGTCCATTGTAAACATCTTGCTTATGGTTATCCCAAACTTCTAGTGGACAGCTTATCTAGAGGAGTGGAAAGAGGATCTGTGCTGGGGAGCCATGATCCCAGGTAATGCAATATGTGTGGATGTATTTTGATGTGTTTATTTCTGGTTGTTCTTTTCTGTCGAGAGGCTTCTTGCAACTGGGCTATTATATACCCTTGTTCATCTTTCTTACGAAATGAAATTTCTTTAATCTCATTAATTATAATAATCTTGCACTTGATGAATATGATTGGATACTTTTTCTGGTGACACCAAATTCAAGTTAAATGTGCAAGTGTTGTCACCCAAATTTGGGCTGAGATCTTAGTTGTTCTATGAATTTTCCCTATATCACTTGTCATTGTCTCTGTGCATATGCAAATTTTTCTTTTTAATGTTTCACTCATCCTCGTGCTTACATGTAAAACCCATGCTTTTATAGTTTTATATTATTTTAAGCCACAGGCTAAACATGCATTTACGACAGAAATTGACATGATTTCTTTTAGTAACCCTTTGTTCGTCTAAGTGATTAGCATTGCTAACCATGCACTATTGCCTCTTGATGGGGACTTAATATTTACAATTTCGGTATTGGTCATCATCATCATCATCCAAGCCTTATCCTAATTTTATGGGGTCACCTACAAGAATCCTGTTTCACCATTCCATTGTATTTAATGCCATATCCATTGTTAAATAATGGGTCAGTTCAACTTGCAATAGATCACTTCTTCTCACAGGTGCTGTTGATGGTCTTCTATGCATGTGACCAAACCATCTTAGTCTACTTTCTGTCATTTTATCACCTATTGGAGCTACTCTTAGGTTCCTTCAAATTACTTAATTTATGATCCTATTCCTTTATAGTTTTTTTCCCACTTATTCATATCAGCATACACATTTCCGTCACACTCAATTTTTTGGACATATTTCTTGACTTCCCAACACACTGCTCTATACAACATAGCTGGTGTTACAACTGTTTTATAAAATTTTCCTTTTAATTTAAATGGTATTTGCCTATCACATAAAACTCTGGATGTGCCCCTCTAGTTTGCCCATCCTACTCTAATTCTATGGGTGACATCCTCCTCAATCTCTCCCTTGTTATGAGTTATTGAACTAAGGTACTGGAAAATGTCACATTAAGTTATCTCTTGTCTCCAATCCTAAGTATACCCAAAGTTCAAAGTATTGATATGTACGTTATGTAAAGATTGCATGTTGCATGTTTTGGATGACCAACACACTGTGAAGACATCTACAGTAAGTGTATTGCCCTTTAAAAATGGCCAGATTTTCTAACCCACTGTATTTAGCTTTCTAGTGAGCTCAAGATACGATACGATATGTTCAATATAGGTTGTATTGTATTGATACTTGAACCAGGAGAGTACCCTGATTTGCACTCATTTTATTATTCAATTTACATATCATATATTCTGTTTCAGTCATACTAATTTTAAACCTCTTGTTTCTAAGGTATTTGTCTATAAGCTTAATTCTTCATTAGTTTCCTCAATTAAAACAATGTCATCAACAAAAAAACATGCACCATGGGACCTCCTCTTGAATATACAAGGGTTAAATGCTGAACCGTGGTGAAGACCCATCATAACTGTAGAATTTGTTCCCTCTCCCACAGGTGTTGTTCTTACATTGGCTGTTCAGTTGTTGCACCCTCATACGTATCCTTAATTAGTTTTATATACCTATTTGGAACCCTTTTTCTTTTTCAAGACCTCCTTTTCAAGATCAGTAGTGGTTTTTAACCACAGCTGCTAGACACGCTCACATATAAACATTAAAGTGCAAACACATATCATGTACATCTATAGAATTGTTGCAGGATGAAGTCATTACTGAAAACCTATTGTGCATAAACAAAATTAGGCAAAAAATAGATTCTCTTTTAATGCAAAATCATATTTTTAAGTAGTAACCACATGATATAGATAATGCTTAGAATTATATTAGATGAAAAAGTTGCCTTGTGAATTTGAAGTGATGTATATTGTTATGCGCACATGACTAAGTGCTCACATATGTTGTCCTTTGCTAGTCTTTTTGCAATTTTTTAGCTCTGGATACTTTAGTCATATAATATCAGAAATTGATACAACAGATGTCTTTGGGTTCATGTCTAGTTGATATGAAATGATTCTGTTTTCCACCCCATTTAATATCTCTCTATGTGATAATATTCTCTTAATTTCTGCAGGAAGGTTTTGCATTTGCTCATTGCACGACCTGCAAGGCCCCTTACCACCTGAGAGTGCATGCTGTTGCAGATAGAAAATGGCGAACCTTGAAGTTTCGCTTCTTTGTGACTAGAGATATTTTATTTATCTTTGTGGCTGTTCAACTTGTAGGATTCCTCTATTTGCATTTTTTTTGTTGAATTTTACATTTTGCAGTTTTATGCTGTAGGCTTAAGAATAAATGTTTTCATTAATTTTCTTTATGTGCAGGTAATTGCTTCATTGTCATATTTGGTGTATCTAATTGATAGCTGCCAACAATTTTGGCTTCGCTTGGCTTGGGGGTTTGAAAATGAACTTAGTTTCTACTATATATGTGGTAAATTATTAATTGCCAGTTCATCCTAGTTTTTGGTCCCTTGTGCTTAATTTTTATAGTTTTAATACCTTGTTTCTCATGGTCTGTCAATGTCCTGCAAGAACTTCCTGCAGGACTTAATTCCTCAATTTTATCATCAGTATTAGTACCTGGTATGACATAACTGCTGGGAGGATATCTTTAGGATTAGATTTTATTTTATTTATTTATTTTTTTGCATAAGCAGCTAGTTTACACCTTATGCATGGCTGATTGTACTTGTTATCTTTATCTTAAATAACTTCCTATCTTTACCTGACATTACTCTTATTATTTGACTTGCTCTAATTTTGGTCTTCCATGGTTTGCTTCATTAAAATGCTTTAATGTCCTTAGAAGGTATAATGAATTATTATTGTCTGAAAGATTTCTGGGCCTCGAATTCTGTGCATTTCAGTTGTTAAGTTTATTTGAAACTTCATAAAAATTATGTACTTGTAGTTGTGAAATCTCCAGGTTAAAGTCCATGATTGCCTTCCATTATATTGTTGCATTTTGTGATGCTAATATAGTTGTTAGTGTGGCTTTTGAATACAGGAGCATTACTATTTTTTGCCTTACTAGGATTGTCAGGCTGCTTCATTACTTGCTATGATCGAAGAGTTCGTAATGATTTGGCTCAGCCTTGTCGAGAATTGTGTCTTTGTTGTTGTCATCCTGGGTAAGGTTTCATCAGTTTACTAACCATGCTTGTCAATACATTACCCTTTAAAAAACAGTTAAATGTTTGCCATTCTTTTGTTTTTTTGATAAGTAAAAAGAAAAGTCTCGGAATTTATTTCGGCAGTTCTCTTTTAATGACCTGTGGAGGCATTGGGCAGAAGTGGCAAGCAGTTCCTCTCTGAAGACAAAGATGCATATGAGCTGGGTACCCTCACCTGAAGGTTTCATGAAGTTAAATTTTAATGATAGTAGTCTGGGCAATCCAGGTCTTTCTGGGATGGGAGGGGTTATAAGGAATGTAAGTGGTTATGTAGCTTTTCTATCTTCAGGTCCTTTAGGTGAGGGGGACTCCATGAGGGCAGAATTATTAGCTGCACTACAAGGGGTACAGTTTGCTGTGCAGCTAGGAGTGGGGCAGCTACTAATAGAAGGTGATTCTCAGGTGGTTGTGGGGTGGCTACAAAAACCAGAGACTACAGTTTGGTGCTTCAAAAATGAACTTAAAAGATTCAAATGCTTGACGAGGAATTTGGTTATTAGAATACAATGGGTAGGGAGGTCTGCCAATGCTATGGCTGATTGTTTAGCCAAGCAAGGGACAAATAGGGAACATCTGTATTGGGCTTAGTTGTAATCTTTTTTAGTTCTTGATGGGTTGGAGAGGTTGCAACTTGTGCCTCTCCAAGTGTATTCTGTAATAGTGCCTCTTGGTTTATTCCATTAATAAATTCTTCATTTATCAAAAAAAAAAAATCAGATGAGAAAATAAGAGAGAAGAGAGGAGGGAAAAATGGAGATGAGAAAGAAAGATATGATTGAGAGGAATAGAGTATGAGTTGACCTTAGTGGTTGGCTCGCCAAGTCTATATACTTGTGTGTTTAAAACATTGAAGAATTACAATAATCCCTTCTTTAGTAATGCATGACATCAGGACATATTTAGGTGTTTTTACAGAGTCAATATGAAATTGAGAACTCAGTAAGAAAAGCTAGGTACCAGTAAACACTGGAGGAATGGTTCGACATCTGAATTGCTTGAATATTCTCATGACATGTAGAATTGAATGAAGAAAAATACTGAAGTTATTGGGAAGGTGTATAGAGTGTATTTTTCTATGTTTCTGCAGTTGCTCAAGTTTTTGATGCTTGTGCTATTCTTAATCAAGTTGATTCAATGTTTCTTTTTTACTTTGCAGAATGTGTGCAGACTGCCATTTACCTGGCACTCTTTGCATGTGGACTGACTGTACCACATGTCTTGAAAGTTGTGGAAGTGCAGCAGGTGAATGTGGTGGTTGCTTAGGAGGTGCTGGCGAAGCAGGGTTGCCATTATTATTTATTGTGGGTTTAATTGTGCTGGGACTATTTACTGTAATTGGCATATTCTACAGTGTTCTAGTGGCTACAATGGTAGGGCAACGGATTTGGCAGCGTCATTATCACATACTCGCAAAAAGGATGCTAACAAAAGTGAGTCATGATTTGTTCTATCCACATTTTCTTTTCTACTCTACCAAGAGTTTGTTATGCTCTTCTTCTTGTATTAGCTGCATGGTATGTGCATTTGCATAAATTATTGCATGAACATGGACATGGGAGTCGGAATCTGATGCACGACCAAGATTCTGACTAGAAAATATGAAAAAAAAAAACAAATGGACGCATGAACATGTTTATAGAAAAAAGTTTATAATACTAAAACATTTCATGTTTTCTATTTTGGATTTAACATTATATATCTATAAAATGGTAAAAGAATGTTGTTTTAGTTGTTGAATGTCTTGTAGGAAAAATGGCATTCATTTTGTACGTTGGCAGCTCATTTATGTCAACTAGATTAGGAGAAAAAGGAAAATTTTACTTAGAAGTGCCCCTCAATAATACAAAGAATGTCGGTATCTAATATGTTTCTGATACTGATACTTCACACAGGAGAGGAAGGGAGAGATAATCAATTAAAGGAGGAGGGGAACTCCCTTTTTATATAAGGTAATGGATGCCTGTGGCAACTCTGCAGAGTCCGGATTCTGTGAACTCTCTAAGATCCCATCTGAAATTACCCCGATGATGAAAGACAATTCAGTCTTTACCTGTGATACATGGTGAGGATTGAGCATGCCAACCTCACATATTTGTTTATGTTTATTCATTGGTGCTTGATCCTCACCATGCACCGGGGCAAAGGTCAACGTATCTGCATTGGTGGTGTGGAGCTCAGTGAGTTGGGTGCTGGATAAAAGGATTTTTATAGGATTGTGATTCTAAGCATTTAGTCAGAACAGTGTATCTTTTGGCCTTACAGGATGTTCCAATTGTTGTATTGTTTTCTCCTACCTTTTGATCAATGTTTATCTTACAAAAAAAAAAAAAAATCTTACTGAAACATTCGAGCAACTTTTGAGTGTGTATCTATTATATTACTACTATTCATGGCTTCTGTTTTGTTTTCCTGTGTGCAACTCAACAGCCAGAATATTTGCTCTCAGTCTTATACATGATTTTTTGTTTTATTTGCACAACTGTAGGAGTGCTAATAATTTAGCCTCTTGCTGCATTCTTACAATGGTTGCGTTGCCTTTTCGCTGTTGTAATTAGGAGTACGTTGTGGAGGATGTTGATGGTGAGATGACAGATTCCAACTGGTCCCCTCCACCCCTCCCACCTGAGCATGTTCAGCAGTTGAAGACACTTGGTCTTTTGTGAATCCCGGATTTTCATTCTTAACCTATTACTTGAAAAGCATGATTCTAAGATGAACCGTCTTTTGTGTAATCTGATAATCAGTTTGGTTGTATTTATACACATAAAGATCAATAGATGCTTTGTCTGGTGCTCTTTTATACCAGGTCTGATATCTTAAGCATATATCAATAAGGAAAAATGTAACTGTAACTGTTTTCTGTTTTGTATTTGGTAGCCAGTACTGTAAACAAGTGATTATAAATGAAGCCTTACAATTGACTCAAGCAGGGTGGTCATTTTCATCCCGGCCCGGAAGTTCCGGGCTTGGGCCTATGTTTTGTGTTAGGGCTGCATCAGGCCCACCAATTTTCAGGCTGCGCCTGGGCCTGGGCCCAATATTTTAGGTCCATCCCATACGTTATTATTGATATTATTTGTACATATTTGTGTTATTGTATGGTATATTATATATTTCATATATAAATGTTATAATATAACACCTATAATTGATAATATATATAAATATTGTATAAAATAAATTATATTATATGACATAATACAAAATACTATACATATTTAAAATTTTACACAAAAGACATAGGCCTGGAATAGCCGGGGCCTGGTTTATATTTCAGGCCTGGAATTGGGGATGGGCTGGGCCCAGTCTCAGGTTGTAGCCCTTACCACAGGTGCTAAGCCTGGCCCGGCCCATGATTACCCTTAGCGTCGAGTTCCTTAGGCTTAGTTTGTTTGCAGTACAATTTCATTTACACTAGTGTAAATGCATGGAAGTGCAAATCGGCTGAGTATGATTCTGGTTTACTTTGGTTTTAGATTTGACTGTCTTGTTTGTTTGTCATGAGAAGTAAAACGGAAATTACTTTGTCAAGGATTTAGTTTGACAGTGTCTGATATGTCTTATATGCATGTTCTTAGGGAAGCCAATTTTGTGGTTGACTGGTTAGCTAATTCAGGCCACACCAGGGCTGTAGCTTGTTCTAGTATTCCCTAGAGAATGGAGATAAGAAGAAGGTTATTTGTTTGAAAGTGAAGTAGGAAGCAAGATGATATAGTCCCCACTTTATATGAGAGGGAATTAAGGTAGAGCTCAACCAAAAAAAATGAGGTAGGAAGGAGGTGGTACTAATTTTGCATCTATTTTTTTAATTCAAAAATTGTATTGCCAATAAGTGAGGACAAAAAGCACAAATTTTGTATCAGGTAGAACTGCAAATCTTCGCCACAAACAAATGGCTGCAAAACTAAACCAGATCAAACAATCTGGTTCAGATTTGCACGCAAACAAACAGAGCCTTAAATTTTTATTTTTTAAGTGATGAAATGTGCCTATAAATGTATTTTTGGCAAATAGTATTCAGAATACATGTTTATTTATCTTTTAAAGGGTGGATTTTCTTGATTTAGAGCATCTCTTATTCTTCTCATAACTCATTGTGCACGTATGAAATAAATCTTGTTGAAAGTGGGGAAGTATCACCAAGTGATTGAGCAGATTTATAGAATTTTTTCTTACAGTGGCATATTCTTCAATGCATTTAATAAGCAAACTCACATATTATATATGATGCTGTCCGAATTGGGCTGGACATGTTGAAGAGGCTATAGTGAACTGGACAAGTTGAGTGGATTTGGGGATCTGCAAGCAGGGATAGTTTGAGGCACCGAGGTCAATATCTGGGGATGAAGACGAGAGAGAGAGAGAGATTCTCTAAGCCGATCTGTGTTGAAGAGTTGAGCTAGCCGTAGAGCTGAAGAGTTAGTGGGTACAGGTACAATGCTTTAGGTTGCTAGAGTGTTAAGTTGTTAACTTGGGCAGTGTGCCGTCACACAGGCATGGGAACCATTCGTGGGACATTTTAGGCCCTGTTTGGCATTGTTCCTCCTTGTTTCCGTTTCTAATTCTTGGGAATAACTGAAATGTTTGGCAATTTATTGCTCAGGAACAAATTCTTTTTTTGCTTAAGTAGAAACAAACCAGAGAAGGGCGGTGAATGATGTTGTTAGGGATTGAACACAGAGAAGGGCGGAAGGAGCTTGATGAACGATGATGAATGATGGTGTTACTTGGCTCTTCGTCGCTGGAGAAGAAGCATGGTCGTTTGTCGATTGAGGAGTAGGAAAATGTTGATGCCGAATTTGGTTAGGGCTTGAACACAGGGAAGGGCGGAAGAAGAAGGAGCTTGACGAATGACCATGAATGATGGTGTTACTTGGATCTTCGTCACCAGAGAAGAAGCACGACAAATGGGGTGAGAATGACAGTCTGTCGATTGAAGAGTAGGAAGACGTCAATGTCGAGTTTAGTTGGGGCTAAAAAATAGAGAAGGGCAGAAAAAGGAGCTTGACGAACAATTGTGAATGAATGAATGAGATGAAGCACGACAAAGGGGTGAGAACAACAGTCTGTCGATGGAGGAGTAGGAAGATGTTTGTTGAGTTTGGTTAGAGCTTGAAAACATCCCAATTTCTGTTTTGATACAAAATTACTCTAATGCCCATCTCATCAACACGTGAAAGAGGTGCATACGTGTTCGTTATTTTAAAACCAACGAACAGGAACAGCGTTCTCATTGAGAATTAAGAACACCATTTTGGAGCCTTGTTCCTATTCCTGTTCAGGCTATTTCTTACATTTTTTCTTCCCAAACCTATTTACGTTCTTTAGGAACGTCAGGAACAGGAGGAACGTCAGGGGTGTCAATTGGACTGGGTTTGGTCCAATTCGATCTAATCCAAAGTGCGTTCGTTATAAATGGGTCAGGTTTTAATCCAATTCAGTGAATATTTTGGACCAGTCCAATTCAATGTCTGAATCGTCCAATCTGTTCAAATTCATTTTTTTTAGATTGATTCCAACCCAAACCTGGTCCATTGACACCTTTATTCTTATTATCAATGGACCAGATATTGGTCAAAGTCCAAAAGAATCCAATATAAATTCATTAAGCATGGATCAGGTCCAATCCAATCCAATATAAATTCATTACGCATGGACCAGGTCCAATCCAATTCAATAAATTCTTTAGACCATTAAGTCTGGACTGGTCCAATTCAATTTGTCCTGTTGGTCCGTCTAAATTGATTTTGGTTTGGACGGAGTCCAACCCACCAACCTCGGTTGTTAGGGATTGAGATCTCCTACCAACAAAACACACATTTCAACATCCTACCAACTTGATCCGACACCACCATCTCACTATAAAATTGGGGCCAACCATAAAAGCGAGACCTACCCTGAATGAGATGTGCGGTGTCGGATGACATTGTTAGGATGTTGGAACATATTTTATTGGCAGGTGATCTGGACTCAGTTGTTAGTCCGACATTTCACCACAGGGACAGGTGTCATTTCTTCAGTGATGACTTGTTGATCTCACACACATGAGCTCCAAAGGCGACACGTCATAAACTCTCAACAGGTGCAGATTCTTCGTCGCTTTAACCATGTGTCACTGCTCGGTTTGGGCATGTGGTGGTCCTTGGTTTGTCCACGTGGAAGTCCTTGTTAGACTCAGGCCAAGAGGTTACGAGTTGAAGTCCTTGTTAGTTTCCCACAACGTCTCACAATATACCCCACCGTGTATTAGGAACATCTCCTGATGATGCCTTATCATTTCTGATATTATCATTAGGAGATGTTCTCAATACACAACGGATGTAGTTATCTTGTGAAGGGCTTATTTGAACTCAGAGGTTACATCAATATGCAGTATGTGAGCAGGCTCTACCGTTCTTTGCAACATCTGCAGAGTAGGTAGCTTATTTTGCATATTGGTATTGCATACCAGAGGTGTGTATTTTTGTTTAGTGTTGTAAGAGAATCTTATATCCAGGTGGGCTAAATAATCTTGGTCTGGAAAACAAGACCCATGCATGGTTAATGGGTATTTGGCCCTAACTTCTTGATTTTCCGTCTTCAAGTCTGGGCCCATTGCCTTTTTTATTTTTTGGACAAAGTGATAATAAAGTATCTACTAACAAAGCAAAAACTCAACTATTAAGGTCCCAACTCCCACCCAAATACAGAACGTCCATTGTCACATGGTGCTAAATTCTTACCCCTTTTTCTTTACATTTTTTTGACGGGACTACGCTGCAGGTGGAGGGGCCCTCCCTAAGCCCATACCTGGACGGCTGGAAATGAAATACGGGTGGCGGGTCAGTGGTCAATCATAAATGGATCAACATGTGATGCCATATAGTAAATAAAGAATCAGTAAAAAAATAACAAAAACCTGTTGAAATTTTTGACATTTCTCATAATTTATAAATAAAAATTATTATTATTAATGATAGAAATAAATGGCAACAGAATAAATTTTTAACCCGACTGGCTGGGTCAAGTGGTTTCACTCAGACGGGCCACTGGGTTGTTGGCTAAGCTAACTCAACGATTTTTCTGTTCGGAGGTGAAACGAACCCAAAAATCAGTTTGGGTGACGGGTCATCGGTCCGATCAGCTGGTTTGACCGGGTTGAAAACACTGGATCTATGATTAAAGCTTGAAAGTCATTTATTTTATGCTGGTTTTGGTTGGGGACCATCCAATGGTGAGTCCTGGCTCTGAATTAATAATATCTTTTATTCTCAAATTAGAAAACACAATGGATGGAGTAGAGATGCCAACCTTAACTTCTTTGTGGAAGAAAAGAGGTATTAAAAATTTAAAATAATGACAGGGTAAACGGTTCAAAGAAGATCCGAGTGCCCCATGTGGGTAATTAAAGCTGCAAATTTATTTGCACTAGTACAAATGCATGAAAGTGCAAATGTAAAAATTGCATGCAAATTATTGTTTAATTTTGTATTGGATTTTACTTTATTCTGTTTCATGTCTTAATTTACTTCATTCTACTGCAATCAAACAAAATAACCTAAATTTTAAAACAAAAATAAGTCAGAATTTACACTCAAATCATTTGTACTGTCATAGTTTTATAAATTTCTTTGCCTTGCAACCAAACACAGTCTAACCCAACGAGCATTAATTAACAACAAAGGAAGTTTGGAACATGTCAATGTCCAGCATTATCATTGTTGCTCATTGGGTTGGGCCGCAAAAGCAAGACGGTAAAAGGTAGGGAGTGAAGGAGGGGATATGCTGGGCTTAGGTAAACCCAGTGCCACCAGCCACAGCTCATAGGCCAAAACACTGGCAGCCCATTTAACTAAAAATGGTTTCAGGCCGTATGCGTATATGGCTTGCTTAAGCCCAATAGTGTGATGTGCTCATTCATTCAATTTTTTGTTTTTTGTTTTTTTACTATGAACATTTTTTTTTTTGCTGAGCTTGTTTTTATAATTTCCCTCATTATTCTCAATAATATCAATTGAGTTAAACTCCACTAGATTACTGTGATTTGATTAATTTTCCACATTTTAATGATATATTTAATCCAAGAGGGTACTTTTCTAAAGCACCCAATTATATATATCATCAATTAATTAACCATTAATTGTTCCACTGCCACCATCCTGCCATCTTATAATTTTCTTTTTTGACAAGAAGATCCAGGAATTCCATTGATATCAAACACAGATGGACAAACTTCCTGGATACAAGAACAGAATGAGCATGAGCATGAACAAAAGGAAAGCCATGGAACAGCAATAGCTATTCTGATAGCTCTGCTATGCAGCTTCCTGAGCAATCAAATGGGCTGACTCAATTCAATTTCTAGCTACAACTGAAAGCAAATTAAACTCTGATGTCTTGTAACAGAAGAAGCAAAGGAGATCTCATCTATGCACCCTGCTGAAACTAGCTTCAGCCGTTTCTTTCTGTTTCTGTCTCCCCTTTTCCTTTATCATCAGATTCAGACCAACTTCCTGAAACCAGCTTCAATGGTCGTATCATCACGTTGTCCTCGTGGTCCAGAATCTGCAAATTAAACACAGAAACAGGATTTTAATATAATCCAGAACCAAAAAAAAAAAACCCGAAACAGACAGAATTTCAATCTCTCTCCTCTCTCTCTCTGGTATCATGGAGGACTGAGTGCTTACATGACAATGGTAGACGTATCCCGGTTCTGCCGTAGCATCGAACGGATAAGGGGAATTGGTGTCGACCAGATTGAATTTGACGACGACGGTTGTTTGGTTTCCCGGGGGTATCTTCACTATGTTCTTCCATGTCCTCTCAGTAGGGGGTATATCGGTTACCTTCCCTGTTACATAGGATCCCACATTGCATGCGATCGCGTCGTTCTTGGCAATCATGCAACTGTTGAACTGGGCTTCATTCACCAGAGCCTGCACTTTGATTGCCTGAAATGTTGCCAAGTGCATGTGTAACGGGTGATCGTCGTTGGTCAAGTTGATCACTTCCCACACCTCTGTGCTACCGGACTTTGGTGTCTCCGTCACCGGGTCGGAGAACTTTTTACCGTTTATCAAGAAGTGCGTGGTATCCCCGGACGAGGTCCTGTATTCATAGAACACGATGTACCTTGTCTTCGCCGCACCGTCTACCGTCGCCGTCGCCCGGTAACTCACTAGACTGCTCGGGATCTTCGAGGTGTCGGGAACTTTCGGCTTCTCCGGTGGAATTATGAACTTAATTACCTTGGAGTTGAGCTGATCCACAGAACTACCGCCCGGGTACGGATAGGGTGCATCATTGTTCAGTACAGCCTCGGTGGTGCCCGAAGTTGAGAAGTCAATGATCACATCAGCTATCTCGGCGGGTGCTAGGACAACGCTCTGCGTATGTACCGGTGCCGGAAGATAGGAACCGTCGGAGGCGACTTGGACAAACGGCAGGCCGTTGCTTAACGACAGCGACAAATATCGAGCATTGGAAGCGTTGATGATCCTGAACCGGTATTTCCGTCTCTGAACCTTCAGGTAAGGCCAAGCCTTGCCGTTAACGACGATGGCATGGCCGAAGTACTCCGGTTGCCACTGGGGATGAATGGAAGGGACATTGCCGGTGTAGTTCATGTAGAGGGAGCCGTCCCGACTGAAGCTCCGGTCGAAGATCATCAGGTGCCGGTCGAACTCGGGTCCAGAGGGAAGGTTAAGGGCAGCGTCCAGGGCGGGATTGCAGATGACGTAGGCGCCAATCAGTCCAGCTAACAAGTTTTCACGTGTCAGTCCTTTTGCATGATCATGGTACCAAAAGCTTCCTGAGTGGTGGACGTTAGGGTAGGTGTAGGTGGATTTGGTCCAGGTGGGCCCGGTCTCCCTGAAGTTGGAAGTGAACCAGGCATCAGGGTGGCCATCGTTTTGTGGTTCTTGGATCCCACCGTGGAGATGGACGACAGTTGGGACACCACCGTTCTTGGGAATGGCGGTGGGGACGGTGGGGTCCCACGGGAGTATGTGGCTTTCAGGGAGGTGATTTTGCCACGTCACCGACATGGGTACGCCTTGGATGGCCTCAATTGTTGGACCGGGCACGGTTGCTTCTTCTGGGCTTGTGCCGAACGCGAAGACCGTTGTTTCTGGCAAATCACGGTGAAATTTCTGCAGAGACAAATATCATATAAAACAGTTAACACCTGCAAACATGGTGAAAGGTTAGAGCCATAGAACGAACGAAGCTAACGCGGCATACCCATTTCTTTTCAAACATGCCAACGACGAGATTGCCAGACTTAGGCTTGGTGTTGCCTTCGTTGGAATAGCCATACAGCCTGGGCATCACAGGGAGTTGGTCGACGAACATTTGCAGAGAAGCGGCCACTTGAGTTAGGGCAGCATCGGATGTCGGAGGCGGAGGTCGTGAGACAGCTCGGCCGCATATCGCAATGAGTAGCAATATGGGAGCTAGTAACAGTCTAGCCATCGTCAGTCAGATATATACTCCTAATTACCAGATGTGTCTACAGGCTACAGCAAAATGAATGGTCACTACGCATTAAAATTGATTGGTAAACGATGAATCAATAAAATGCTAGTTGGCGGAAATGTGCATTAATTAACAGAGTCAATAAGTGTTACTGAGAGACGAATATATGCATGCATGGTTGCAGACATATATACGACCTCTGACTCTGAGGAATACTGAGGACGAAGGAGAGAAGTGAAGAGGCAAAAGTGGTGCAGTAGGTGCCAAGCACAAGCACAATCACAAGCACAATCACAATCACAATCACAATCACAAGAGAGTTTGATGGAAGAATTGGAGGTGCGAGTGTCGGTATAAATAGACTGATAAGAGTAAAGGGGTTGAGGGTAACGTTAACGTTGGTGCAAAAACCCAATACCGCGTGCGCGTGGTTCAAAACGAAAACAGCCGGCCGGCCATGCGATTTAGTCAGATTCCGGTTGATGAATTCAATTTGAATATCGATCAGGAAATGGATTGTTAATTAATGAATGAAGGCATATTGACTAAATTATATATGCATTTTTAGCATTCAAATAATTAAAGAGAAAAAGAATAATTAGATAATTAATTAATAGATGCATCAAAGTAATATTTATATGATTAAGGGGTCGCTTACTCCATACAAATTAAAGTGGTGAAGAACATAGAGAGATAGAAGGGAATTGACAAATACAGATTTTCTAATGCTAAAATGGTTGGTTCAATTCGGTGGTTGCACCTTGACTTTGTTTACGACGCTAGGATTTTTTTTTTCTTTTTTTCGCGTACTTTAAATTACTTAGGAACCAATAATGTAGATATCAGAGTTTGGAGTTTGGAAGCTACGTACATGCATATTAATATTTTGCACTGCTTCGGGTTCGAGTCTTAATTTAAAATTTGACAAAAGTCCAACCCTTTGATTTGCCTCTGTTTTTTTATTCATTATATAGTTTATATAATGAATAAACTATACATTACCAAGTCTGAAAAATAAGTTGAAAGTGTTGAAAATTTCTATAATTAATAAACTCTTGCTTGCTAATTAGGTTGAAAACAAAATTGAAGGTGTTTTGAAATTTCTGGTAGATACAGTAGTTGTAACTGTTCAAGCCCCAAATCCCTAGTATATATACATATATGCATGATATCCTCACTAGCCCAGTCGAAAACTAAATCGGTTTTCTTACTTTAAACTATAGATCGACACAGTTGACAAATTGGTAGGAATCACTTTAATTTTAGTCTTGCTTGTTTGGTTGGTGGCCGGTACGTAATTAAATTAATCAAGAGGAATTAAGGAAGTAAATGCTAAGATGAAGCTCAAACAGAACTTATATGTGAGAACACACCAATTAGGTCTGAAATAACAAGAGAGAAGGAAAGCACGTGCACAGAATCATTTCTGGCTTCATTGGTACATACGTTATATCAGATTCTCTCTCAGTATTGCCGAGAAATGGTTTGAAAGTTGTTGAAGAAGAAATCTTGCATAGTTTGGTGATGACCTCCCTCTTAGTCTTCCTACTTCTTACCAGATATAGAATTTCTTTGTGGTGACGAGTCCACCCATTCTCGTCTTGAATAATTATATTTGGTTCTACCCTTCTAGGTAAGAATTTGAAGGCCGCTTATTTGGAGCTCGGATCTCCTGCACTCATCTTGGTGTGTGTTGGGGTGCACTACAAATCATATTTAGACATGTCTCACTTCTCATGCATCTTGGCTCACATGTGCGAGATCACATCTCCTCCCCACAAGGGGCCGCCCCACAGCGCATCCCCGCCATGTATTAGGATCATCTCCCGATCTTCTTTGACCTTCAACCACCCACAAAGTTTGGGGGTCCTTTAATCTCATGAAGACTAAAAGTTCCGACGGAAAACGTCTATATTACTAAAAACCAATCAATACTTGTGTTATTTTCCTTGTCTTTAATATGTGGTGGCTACACGTTAGAATCAAAATAACTCTCTAAGAAAAAGAAACAATGAGACCCTTCAGACAATCATCTTTGGCCTGTAAAAATGGCAGCGGCAGCATAGGATTTGGTTTTGTCTATCCTGCTTTTTTCTCATATTGGACACTCAATATGACATTTCTTTTCCATTTTTTCTTTTAATTATTAAGTTAAAAAATAATATAAATAACAGAAAAAAACTTATGACCGTATAATAAGTCCCGCACATGTGATGCGGGGTGACATGTGAAGTGAGACGTGTGAAAACTTGAATGGAAGAGCACTCCCGCACACACCAACGTGAGACTCGTGCAATATTCCATGGACCGTGTACTATGCATGGTCCCCATTCTATGGACCATGGACATGCATCCCAATTCTTCAATCACATAAGAGACTCATCACTCATGCCATTTAATTCTTTAGTTGTAGATGGGCAACCCTTAGACTGTAAGAATTAAATGGTTGGAATTGAAGATTATGGCTCAGAAAGAAATTCCTGAAAAACGTTTTTTTTTTTGTTATTTTGCCATAAATAACTGGAATCATATATACTTGCTCAACAGATAATGAACAAGTTTTTAAAACCGGACCAGATAGGGAACCAGTGTGGGTCCGGTTCCCGAGTCAAATGGTCCGACCATCCGGTTTGAACGAATAGTCTGCTCCGACAGAAAAATAAAAATATAAAAAAAGGTCAAAAACCTTATTTGAATCTATGGTTCGACCACCCGAATCAATGGTTCACTGACCAAATCAACAATTATTGGCTAAAAAATGGTTTTAGGGTAAAAAGGAACAATTCCCAGTTTTTCTGATCCTTCGACCATCCAATCTGACCCGATTTTGAAAACCATGATAATATATACTGATGAAGGGTGATTTGGCCCGACCTAGTAAAGAGGGGACACGTGGACACGACCTGACCAAGAGATGACAACTCAGCTTATCATGACTAGTCCGTAGCAGATCGAGCTCGGGTACCCAACCACCTCGGGCTAAAGTGACCCCGGGACAAGGCCACCTCGAGATGAGATCGCCTCGATACCAGATCGCAACAAGAACACCTTGATGCCAAGGCACTTCGGCACTCAACCCTGTTCGGGACTTAAAGACATCAGCTCGGGGATACCGACATGCCACTACGTGGTGATCCCGAAAACCCCTCCAACGGATCCCGGGCCTCACGGGATCACGCCGCGTAATAACTAGCATTATCTCCCCAACCGATTCGGGCAGAATTGATGAACCTTATCGGTTGGTAGCATTATCTTCCAACTAACGCGGAAACGGATCTTATCGTGACGAAGATCCCAGAACTGATCCACGAAACCCGTGAGGACTCGACTATATAAAGGCTCCACCCCTGGAGGTTCAAGGTACGCATGATTATTCTGCTCTCTAGCTCTCTGCATTCTAAAGCTTTCTACCTCGCAACAATATACTAACTTAAGCATCGGAGCGACTTCGCTGGGCTAGCAACCCCGGGTTCTCTTATCCTTCTCTTGTAGATCAACTTAGTCCGTCGTCCGCCTAGAAGCCAGATCACCTCCAGCAGGGAGCAGCTAGATCGCGCTACATCATTTGGCGCCTTCTACGGGAAACGCTACAAAAAAAGCTTTTTTCCACCATCAATCACAGAATCAAATCCATGGCATCCTCCAGCAACGCTAGACAAAACAACAAAGTGAATGTCTCCGAGGGGCAACCTCAGTCCCGTCTGTCTGCATCGGTCAGTTCACCATACCGCTTACTGCGGCTGGGGTCCCAACGCTGACCATGCCTCAAGCGACGACTCAGGTAAACGCGTCGCTCCCTCCAGTAGTTAGCGCGACCTTCGTTGAACCATCCCAGCTTGACGACCTGGTACACTGCGTTTGGGCCATTCAGGTCCAAATGCAACAGGTCCAACAACACCAACACTATCAACAACAAGTCCTCCATCATTTCTACCAGCAACAATGTCAGAAGCAATTCCCTCCTCTACAGCAAAATCAGCCACCGGTTCCATCCCAACACCCAAAGGTACAAAATCAATCTTATCGGCAGAACACTTGCTCTCCCCGCCGAGGTGAGACCTCCCAAGTTCCACTTCCTCTTGGGAATTGGGTCTCGTCCCGTGGAAGGAGGGACAAACAAGTCACCCCACCCGCTTTACAGGGCAACATTGCGATCAGGTCAGGAGATACTCAGCCCGCCAGAGTCATTTTACTCTGTCCCTCGCATCATGAAGGTTTGCTTGCAGGGAACCGGTTCGTGGTTTTGGCCGCAGACTCGAGGCAAGGCCCTTTCGTACATGGCAGTCAGCCTCAACATCCAGAGCCACTCCGCGCCAAAATGGTACCTGACAAAACAGAGGTCAGCAACACCAATGCGGAGCCGATTAAGAAGCAGTAATGAAGGCATCGCAAGGCACACTGAACTACAGCTCATAGCCAGCTCGCCGGGCCCAGCCAACCAGAGCAGGTAAAAGGTAAAGAGGAGGCATGCTCAGTAGCCACAAAGACCGCTCCTCTCCTCTCCGGGTCATCCCCTTTGTCCTCCGAGCTCCTGGTGACCCCGATGTCGAAGGAGTTCAAAATGCCTCGGCTGGACAAGTACGATGGATCTTTTGATCCAAACGATCATGTGGACTCCTTCCAGTCCCAGATGCACCTTGCTGGGGCTGACGAGTCCTGCATGTGCGTGGCCTTCTCCACAACGTTCAAAGGAGTAGCTCGCACATGGTACAAGAASCACGCGCCAAGGACAATCAAAAGCTGGGTGCAGTTCATAGAGATGTTTACCTCACACTTCATCACCAGCAAGAAGTGTCCGAGGTTCCAAGAAAGCTTCCTCAACATAGTCCAAAGAGAAGGGGAGCCTATCAGAAGCTACATTAAACGCTTCAACAACACCTGCTTACAGATCCCCAATCTAGATCCAGATGTGAGGCTCACAGTAGCGAAGAAAGATATTACCCATAGGAAATTCAAGTGGCATGTAGTGGCCAAAAAGCCCAAGGACATCACCGAATTCCYCAACCTCGCCGATCAGTTCATCGGGACCGAAGAAGAAATGAACCAGAAGAATGAAAATCCAGCGAAAAAGAGGAAAAGAGAAGGTGACAACGC